TGGAGGAAATTACTTTGATTAAGGTATTCATTCATCTTCCCTTCGAAACAAATGAATTTTGGAAACGAAAAACGGCAGGAATTAAGTTTAACACCTAATATATAAATGAACAATAAATATTCTTTTGTACAGTAATCACATTTAGTTCGAAGCTATTAGATCGCGCTATTCAAAGCCAATTTTCGATAATCAAGCAACGAGTGTCCAAGTACTTGAAATCATGTAATCAAATGGTCGTATATCCAGGTTAATGCATAAATAATTGTGCTCCGGAGTGCTCTACGGAGGTACCGACTGGCAATTAGTGTGACGAAATTGCGAGTAGAGACATTCGCGTTGGCACGATTGAATATTTTCAGCGCTCGCGACGACCAATGAGCCCAGCTTGTTACATGGGGCTTGTTAACATTTCCACGCGGTATTAACTGTGTTATGGTCATCTGGCCCGCGTCATTCGCATATAATGATCATAGCCGTATCTGATACGCGCGGTGTGAAATTAACATGCCGATTTCGGTCTCTCGAGCAAATACCTAGCGGCTATGCTCGATCAAGTGAAATCGTAATTTTCGAGCAACCTCAACGGCGATTTTGGTATAAAAAAAGCTTTGTGCAAAAAGTGCAATCATAGAGACAATTATTTATATGATAAAATATATAATATAAAGTTTATTCTTACCGAATATTCCAGGAGGCGCTATCCCTGGCATGTTTTGTGTATTTTTTCGGTTCGACCGGGGCAGTCTATTACTGGACGATTATGTGTGGCGCGCGACACAGTATCACCACCGTAGCCAAAACCGTGAATAACGTGAAGACGAACAGACAAAGCCTTGATTTCACACGAAAGAAATTTGAATATTAGTTTCACAAGTCGAATGTTTCAATAATAGATTAAATAAATAGTGAAGAGATAGAATATATAATAGGTAGAAATAACTATTAAATTAATTAATTATAAGAAATGGAACTAATTAAGTTACCGAAAGAAAGTTATTTTAAGGCTCGTTTTTATAATGTATGGTTATTTAAAGATTAAAGGGGGTTACTAAAAGATTCATTAATAAAATTAATCCATTTCTTGGTAATCTTTAATCCTTAAGTAATATATTGTGAAAAGTTTGGACTTCATTACAAGTAATGAGTCACTTTCCAACCCTATATAGATGTACCAATTATAAATTTCTTATAATTGAAATTACTGAGCAAATAAATTTCTCCGCTTAACCTCATGTGATAAGTGAGGTCCAAGCAAATGAAATTATTGAGCAGAAAAATTTTGAGTAATTAAAACAAATAAAAGTTTGAAACAATCACGTAATGGATTCGTCCGACGAATCGATGGTCCGGCGCCTAAATGACAAGTTTTTCATCGTGCGAGGAACAAGGATCTGAATTTCGAACTCCAATATAAAAGCTTCTTTGTTCGCGATTTTCCACCAGAGATTCGTCGGACGCCATGTGCGCACGACTGAACTGAAGCCACAGGAAAGATTTAAAACATCCAACCTGTCGACCACCATGGCGGCGAACTTCCAGTCGCTAATGACCTCGTCATCCTCGTCCGACTTTTTCATGCGGCTCGTGATGAACTGCAATTCCTTGAGAATTGTGTGAAGTTCCCTCTGCATGCCGCTGAGAGGCAACGATGCCGAAGTCTCTTCAACCGTCGCCGGCCTGGTCGATAACGGTGTACCGTACGCCGACCTGCTGTAAAAGATCATGTAAATTATTACTTTCAAAGGTATCACATGTTTTTTCTCGAGACCATCAACAGACATTTCGCATAGATCGTCGGAGGGTTCATGAAATTCCGGCTCTTTAAAGCGTTATATTATGGCTGTTGTAATTATTAGTCAATTTCGATACATAACATAATGCAAAGTTTGTATAAAGTTAAATACTATAAATGTTGAAGTTCTACGTTCGAAACGACTTGTAAATTGTTATGGTAATTTACAATTGAGATTCACATTGCTTATGAGCATAGAAATTTTTTTCTTTAATGAGATATTAATTGAGAATTATATACAAAGTATTCTGTAAATACTGACATAACCAGGAAGGGGATGATTTTGCTTGAAAAAATAAATCGAAAACTTTTAGAACAATAAAATTTTTCTATATGAGGCTTTGTTTTCGGGAAAATCGATTGTAAATATTCGCCGGGTACGATTTAATAGATCTAACTGCAAACTATTATCTCTGCTCATATTTATTATATTGGTAATTAAGAATATACAATAAAACAGCACGATGAATTTTATTACTTCATAAATTGTTGAATATGTTGCTGGAAAATAAAGCTTTATTTCGAGAAATTGTACGTTTTAGATTACATCCCTATTATTTAGATTACATTAGATTAGATTATTATTTAGATTACATCCCTAATATCCCTATTTACAGAACATCTTTATATATACATATATATATTTATTTATTGTATATATCTCTTTGAAAATTTTTATTTCATATTATTTTATATAGTCAATTGATTCAATGCTTACAGAAGAGTCTAGAATAAACAATTTTCTTCCTTGCGTGAGTTTTGTAAAATTATTTCATAATCAAAAGTCTAACGAATATCTCAATATTTTTTTAATTCCACTTAATCGGTATTCGCTCCAAAATTTCCTTAATTACATATTCGTTAGTCCAATACTTTAAATTAATATATCTTTGCTCAAAGTTAACGTAATTGAACGATTTTTTTTTTAATTGTGAAAGTCCAAATTCGGGGAATAAGATTATGTAACTCAAAATTATGTAAGATTGTGAAAAACATTTGTTATAAACAATTTTTCACAATGTAGTTAAAGAAAACGTCCATTGGATTTATGAATAAAGAACTTGAAAATATTAAAATTATCACGGTTCACGGTACATATGCATTTGAATTGGACCACTACGTCACAGAACTCGGTTATCGGATGACGACGTGACAGAGGAGCGAAGAAGAGATGGAAGAGAAACGAATTGCCCAGAGAATCGTCTGGCAAACCAAAGCGATTATTGAAGGATCGCGAAAAAAAATGTCAGAATGAAATATTTTTGTTAACGGTTCACGGAAATCAGTCGGGAAAGAAAAAAGGCCGCAAAAATCTCATGAGAAAATACGGGAATCCGAGTTTGGTAGATTGAGTTGGCGTTTATCGAGGTCCATGAAAATGTCGATATTCGATTCCAGCGGTACAGTCGTTTAAGCGATGGATTTCGGGCGGGTAGATCTCTTGTCTGCTTATAGTTATCGCAGAGCAAACGTGACGTATATCGTTCTCTAATCATTTTATGTGCGTAGCTTGTGTCTTCGATTTTTCCCGATAGAGCTGTAAAATAACGTTAAGTGTTGGTCGAACATACGACAAGCAAGGGGTGAGATTCATTTAACGCTGCAAATGCTTCGACGCTTCCTTTGATTGGTCAATTCGTAAAATCGTTCTTCTGATTGGCCAACAAAGCATTTGCAGCGGTAGTGGATCGCACCCGCAAGGTATTTACTCGGAAACACGTGTCTGCGCATCTCGATGTGCTCTCGTTGCCGCCCATATGATCATTCACAATATTATTATATACGTTAACGCCCAGTTTTTTTCTCTCTTTCTCTTTCTCTCTCTCATTGTTTTTTCGTCCAATGGGATTAAAACGTGACATGGTCTCTGTTTCTCATGAACAATACATTTGCCCGTCAAACAGCACCGCTCCATTGTTAATAAAAAAAGGAGTGCAGTTGATCGAGAAAATGGATGGCAAGCCATCGCAGAATTTTCGCCAAACGCAACGACCTGAAAAGATTGAATGGATGGAGAACTCGTGGTACCTTATATAGCCCGAGGCAGGATTGGCGGCGCTGTTCCCATGGCGAAAATCATCGTCGATATCTAAAACGTTCGCCAGTAAACTCTTACTGCTCCTCTCCTGCAACTCCAGCTCCTTCATCCGATTACTCATGAGAATGGTCTTCTTCGTGATCTTCTTGCCCGGCCGACTCATGCGCAACACACACGGCAGCCATTGTAGAAACACTATTTTCGTCTGCGTGAATATCGAATTATTGACTCGTTAAACTTCGCAATTGCATCACATATCATATCGTCGCTCTAGTAAAAATTCCTCGCAATTTCATTCCCTTGAATCTCGCAACGAGAACGAAAAACCGAAATTGAAAAGTATAGAATTTTAAAGTGGCATCCCCGCGCGTCATATGCAAAGTTTGATTTTCAAGGATTTACAATATGTAGTTTATAAGCCACGAACACTTTACAATAAGCGTTATTCTAAGAAATAACGAGTATACTCCCCCTATTTGGAAAATTTCTAAAATAAAAGTTACGAGAAATTCAAAGTTATATATTTTTTTTAGTTATATTCCACAGTTATATTCCGCTTAAAATAATTTATTTTAGTGTAACATAATGGCTTTTTCAATAATTATACGTGAAATCCATATTTAACTCTTTATTTAATCCTTTGTGTTGACTACTTCTTTTGGGAAGTTATGCCCTTTTACTTTGTAAACAATTGGCTTAATTTTTGGGAAACTTGGCCCATAGCATAATTTAATAATACTTCATTTAATTCTATGATCAAAAATAAAAATATTAGGTTTAATATGGAGGCAGAATTAAAAATATAATTTGATTATTATAAAACTCGATTTTAGGGATTTTTAATTGAGAAATATATACACAGGTATATAAAAAAATCAAGTTTTCAGTTTCGCTTTATTTGAAATCCATTATTGCTACGTAAATAATTAATTTCTAAGCTGATTTTTAAATCTTGATTATGAATCTTGTGACATTAGAATCCTTCATGGAAGTTATTACTCTTTCGGAATTCAACGTTTATTCGACAGGCTATTTTAATTCATTCAAACTCAGCAATACCAAGAGCCTTTTAAAATTCGAATTTTACGGTAATCAATTTTTAAAAATATGAATTAATTTTTTTGAAATTTAATTTTTTTTTAACTTTGAAGTCAGAATCAAATTTAACAAATCTCGAAAACAAGATCGTCCGTAAATTACTTTGTTAGAAAGCTCTGGACTTTGAGGTTATGATAACATTAAAAAATGCAAATTCATAAATAAAATATTTACTCAATAATTTTAATTTTAACTTCTTTTATATCTAAATTCGAAGCTGAGTCGCATGTTATTTCTTTAACGAAATAATAAATCAAATGCTATGCAATGCATATTATATATTGACGTACGTATGTAAATATACGCTGTAGGAGTTTTGTAAATGCAACGTACTTGTATGAATTCAGAGTATCCAAACAATCCATATACGTATATGTGTACACTTGCATGAAGAAACTTGCATTAACTGACTGACACTGGAGTGAGTACCAACACCTCGAAGGCATTTTAAAGTTCCAAGAAGCACTGTTTTTGGTGGTAGGAATAACCACATCGCGAAGCTTACCGTGCAACGTATTTTTATCCATTACACAAAGTATTTTTTGCGTGCAATAATTTGAACTGTTTCGCATTATTTAGAGTTCATGAATTAACTGCACCTGATTTATTTAAAAAAATCAAATTTATAAGAATTTCCACTTGCTTCAAATAACGCAATTAGAAATATTAAGAGGTATGATTTTATCATTTCATTATAATTATCTAAATATTTCGTTGAAAATAATGAATTAAAAAAAAAATGAATCTGAAATATGCTTATACGACTACATTTTATTCTGCGTTTATTCAATTATAGAGTGCGATAGAAGGCAAATTTGTAACAATTTTAGTATGATGCCACTATAACAATGATGAAAGCAAGTGCAATCTTGTTTAATCCGTTTAGTTGAGCAGCTTATTTCTATTATAAGTATATGCCTAAAATGATTAATCTTTATTCGAATGAAATATTTAACTATACGATCGATCAAAGCATCCTTTCAGAGTAAACCAAACAGCTCCTACTATACATAAGTTTAATTAATTTTCTTTCTAGTTATTGTATGATATATAATCTGCTCTACTACGCTAACTACGCGAATGATAAACACATTTCAACAAACAGAAAATGCACAAAATTATAAAGAGAAACACAAATAACTATGCGACTATAATGATTATATTCATCAACGTTGATTAGCGTTTATTTATTTATTAATGTTTTTAATGTATTTAATTATTAGAATTATTCGTTCCATTCAAAATTACTTAGGTGACAAATTACCATTGTTTATTTCAACATTGCGTCATTAATATTACACGCTACATTTATCGCATTTATATTCAATACTGTTATTCATCATTAATTAGACTTAAATGTCGTCACTAATTAGAGTTAACTATATCTGTGATACAGTCAGTTCAATTTTATTATGTTTTCTTACCCAATTTGGCATCACGTATCTGTCGGGCGATCTGTGATGATAGTTGAGCACCAGAACGGTCAGCACGACGCTGCTCGCCACCATGAACATGATGCAATTGAAGTATGATCCTGAATCGAGGTGTTCCCGAAAATCCCCCGAAGAAAGAATACAAAAAGAAGGCGATTAGTCACGGAAATAACGTGGAGCGAGACGCTGTTAGCAGCTCTCTCATTGAAAATGAAAGATTATTCTCCTGGATTCTTTTAGCTCAGTTCAGATCGTAATCGTTTCCGCTCGTGAACCTTCTTACTTGATATCTCTGGTTCTATTTTTGCTCGACATACATATTTAATAATCTTTCATTCGTTTATACGAGTGCTCGCGCGTTTCCGGTGCGCGTGAAAAGGCTCAAAAATTCAGACATCGTGAGAATGTCCGCGTCTGAAATGTTTTAACGCTAAGCGCGCTTTCCAAAGAATAATATGCCATTCTTTAGATGTAATTTTTACGGATTTCTTGATATTATATTTATCGAACAAGAGTCCGCTTTTAATTCGTTTAAGCCGTGCATTTTGCACAGTTACGCCTTCTTTTCTACTCTCTGCAATCTCACATCGGGTCCTTTAATTCTTCTTATTTTTGTCTCTCCTGTCGGAGCTTTCACTGGAATGCCTTCACTGACTTCTCTATACTGTAGCGAGTAAATACAGTAAGTAACATATACGGAACATTCTTCAGACGCGACGAGAATTCGAGCCTCTCCACGCGAGTGCAAACATACACTCAACAGTGACACACTCGCAGTCACAACATACGACGGTTCAGCGCCATCCGAATGGACCTGTCACGGAATCGACTCACACTCGAGGCGAAAGTTGAGAAAGAAATAATAGACAAGCGAAACAAGCGTATTATTAATCGGTAATACAATAATCGGGACAGATAACGCAGCTAAAGATAAAAGCACACATATATGAGAGTAAGAATAGCATATACTACATCTAGTAACAAAAATATCTACACAAAGATGTCTACGAGATATTCTTCAGATGTTCCCTTAAGCCCGTATTACACTACGCATTAGAATTTGAGACTTGAATTGAAGATTAGAATTTAGCCAATCAGAACGAAACAGATTAAAGTTAAAATTATCTGACTGGTCGAATTCTAATCTTTAATTCGCAATTCTCACTCTCCAATGCGTAGTGTGACATTTGCTTTACAGGTTTTTCACATTTTTGTGTAGTTTTGACAGGCAATAGAAAAATGTCTATAGGATGTGTTGTAAAGATATCCGAAGGACGTTCTAATTTCTTTTTTTAAACGTTCTTTAGATATCTCTCAGTTTTTTATTTCGTGAGATTAATATTTAAGGTTTCACTCATCTAACGGGGCTAACATCTCCAGAATTTCTACAGGATACATCAATACGCGTAATCCAGTTCACCTGCTGAAGTTACGCTGAAGTCAGCAGTTCTCATTTCGCCAGAACAGTGAAGGTAACTTACGTACGTTAGTTTTCTGGTGTTAGATAAGCGAAAATAAGAAAATTGAGAATAGAATGTACTTACTTGCGAGCGGAGTAATAGACGTGTACGAAAAGGAAGAGGCAATGGTGTGTTACGCAGAGAAATTGACGGAGAGAACACTTACGTTATCATGCAACTATCGAAAATGCAATTTTACCGAAAATGCACACAAAAGCCTTCTGTAATTCTCTAAAGTTTGTTAACGGCGAATCTAATAACACTTAAACGTAGAAGTACACAGGATGCATATCGTGAGAACGTTTAAGCTGCGATTAAAACTACGCACTACAATCGGATTGGGATGTAGTTCATCTCTCGACTTTTATTTTCGACGCGGTCGTCTTTGTCCCTTTCAGAAACTTAACACTGGAAGTTGGTGATTAATTATTTATTTTGAGTGTTAGAAACGCTGTTGCGTTTAGTGCTTTTAATACTCAAAACAAGTAATTTTCAGTATTAAATTGCATTTCTGTAAAGGGGTGTCATCACGATTAACTCAGAATTCCTTAAGAAAGTTGTCTTGGAGCGTCGAGAATCTACTGTCGAAGTTTACTTCGATCGCAAGTGGTAGTATACATGCATCGGATAATGATTAATATATAGTTAGTTTTATTTTTGTATTACTCTTATATTACTTATAGCGATTACCATTTTAAGAAGATTATCTTCTCCCTCTTGTGACGAAAATAATCAGCCCTATCAACGCACATTTATACTATGTATCGTTCAAATCGATCTTAAAAATCTCCTCAACCGGTTAATATCTCGTTAAACGTACGAGTCTTAAAATATACCGGCGCCACGCTGCAAAACACTTTAATATCCCATTTTATCTCGGGTTACCTTTTTTTTTTACAGATAAATAACTAAGCCTATTATGAGCAGGGCAACGTCATATCGCGAAACGTTTCTCGCAAATTAAAGATTTTTGAGCTGTAAGTTTTCATTTGCTTCGCCTTGGCTGCGCACGGACAGTCGAATATTTATCCCCCTTCCTGCGACTGCGAAAATTCGCTCGTAATTCTAATTACGTACTCCCTAACTTTCCTGCTAAATTATTGGATCACCATAGCTCGGCGAGTGTATTCGGAAATACTGTATCAAAGCAGAGACTCGCAAATGATTCCGAGTCGAGGCGCGCGCGAAAATAAAAAGAAGGAACGGGAGAGCTTCAAGTGACGATGAATAAAATGCTAAAAGCGTTGCCTTTTTAACTTCTCGTGTTATCTCGGCGGCTATGTTTAACCGGGTCCATAAAGCCCAGCACGAGCGTCTTCAGGCTGATTAATCGCCGTGTACGAAAGCGGCTATCTCTTCTGCTTTTATTAATGGATCCTTAAGACTCGTCTGCTATTACGTGCCAGCTGTATATTTATGACGTTTCGAATTACTTAATCCTTCCATTGATCGTTCAGTGGCGATCTATCATGAAAGTAAAATCGCTTGATTGATTCACAGGAAGCTGGTCGAGTACGGAATTACCAACCTTAAAGGCAAAGGAATATCTTTCTCTAACAGTGATATGTTATCTTCGTTAAAAAAGATAAATCATTTTCTAGAATTCAGCACGAAGAGATGCAAGATATTTTCTGTTTAATACCATTTTCTCTAATTAACTTCCTTAAATTTGATAATTAGGGAAATCTCTCTTTCTCTTTCTCTCTCTCTCACATTGATTATATTGATGGAAACATTCTTCGTTTTTAATAAATTTGTTTTTCATGGATATTAGATCAAACAACGCATTCTCCCGAATTAAACATGACGCGGCGCGGCGGTTTTCGCATTAATGCAGCATGAAGAGAATAGCAAAATTGCCGGAACGTCCAACGTCATAGCTAGCGATATTTACTTCAAATATTTGTTTCGTACGCACGTGAGCACATATGCATTGAGATAACGGACAAAAATTACGTGCAATACGAAGCGTGAAAAGCATTTCATTTCTAGCTTTATTAGCAGGCTTTATTAACAGAATCATCCGGTTGTTCGATTCGGTTGTGGCAGGTCTGAAAAATCTTTGTTAAATACAATATATTCTGACTTCGGCTTCGTGTATGCTTTATTTTAGCCGTCATATGCTCCAATTTAATTATATACGATGAAATAGCTGACGTCGTCAAATTTTCAACTGACAGATAGGTCGTAATTTAAATTATTCCAACGAATTAATTAGTTATTACATGCGTTGCAACGCCGGATGGGTTAATGTGATGATTAATGCAGAATTTACGATCATTGTAATGAACGTCGATGTTCCTCCGTTATACGAGATTATTTGGTGAGAAAATAAAAAATAATGATGCGTAATTAATGAATTAAGGAATCACATTTTTGCATTATAATAAGTTATACGATAAGAAGGTATAGAAATTTTGCACGGATTTTATTTTATACGTCAATTTTTCGTAGTTATATAAACAATTATTTTTTAAGAATTATCGACTCAAATTATGAAATAATATATCATTAAAAAGAATGAATAAAACGCGATATAAAGCAGAATTTTGAAGTAGAATTTCAAAGATGTATTTTTTTTAACATCAAGCTTTGACACGTCGCTTTAATTGCGATTTATAATTGTGGGGCGTTAAGAGTTTTATAAGCGGAATAACTTTGCTATTGAAGAGATCAAGAGTGGCAATTTAAATTCCTCTCATTTTTTTTACGGCCTTTAATTTCCATGAATGTATATATAAACGTTACTTGACCGAGAAGTTTTCATGCCATTCACGTAAGCATGATGTTATTCACATCATCATCGACACCGTACTTCTAAAGAGTTATCGTGAACCTGTTTTGTAAACAGTCTGCAATTTCATAATAACAGAATTAAAGTTTCAAAAATCTTTTAGATCTTTCTTGAATAAAATTAAATTCTTATTTAATTCTCGCGTTTTAATGATAGTTTCAATGTATTTGCAAACATTTCATGTTTCAATTTTCTATTAATTTAGCACACATAATATTATAAAATAATATAAAAGAGAAATTAATATACGTATATATATATATATGTATAAAACATTTCATAATTTAATTTATTTTATAAGTATCAGATTAATATTGGTTTTATGTTAATATCGGATATTACGCTTTTGTACAAGATAATAAAGATTGTCGACTCGCTGAAGAATTAATTATTGCTCTGCATAGTGTCATAAACACTATTTACTTATGCAAGCGATCGATCATGGACAATTTTCCATAAGATGTGTTGCTCGTAGGACTTCCCGCATTCCGTTTTGTAGAGTTACCATAGTACTTATTAAGTACTTCGTACTAATAAGTACTTCGAATGCAATCTACTTGTACGAACTATAATTAATTTCATTATCGACGCTCGCTTTTTATCCTTTTTTCCCGTAATCAGTCCAAGGCTTTCGTCGTTTATTTCGTTTTCCAGATGCATTTTCTTTCGTCGAAAGTGCTTTTTTTATCCTTTAATTACTTCGAGCGACTTGTCGACGAAGTAATTTGTTCGTTATATGGTTATATGTCTCTCTCTCTCTCTCCCCCCTCTCTATGCGTGTGTCTTGACAAATTGCGTCCATCACTTTTTTATTATGGGCTTTATGTTCTCGTTCTGCACATC